ATGAATTAAGAAAGACAATGAGTGGAAAACAGCTTTCAGAATGAGATATGAACTGTATGAATACAATGTCATGTCATTTGAATTAATTAATGTACTGGCAATGTTCCAGATGCTCATCAACAATGCATTATGAGAATACTTGAATGACTTTGTCATTGTGTACCTCAATGATGTGGTTATATTCATCAAAGAAGACTGAAAGAATCACACTGAGAAAGTCAAGAAGATACTAAAAAGATTATGAGAATACAATCTATCAGCAAAGTTAAAAAAGTGTGACTTCTTCAAGAAAGAAATTGGATATTTTGAACACATCATATTGACAGAAGGAGTATGAATGGAACTGAAAAAGATTGATGAAGTACTACAGTGATTAACATTAAAGAATGTCAAAGAAGTACAAATGTTTCACAGACTAGTGAACTACTACTGATAATTCATACATGGATTTTTGAAGAAAGCAAGACTGCTCACACAGCTATTTAAAAAAGACAAACCATTTGAGTGAACAAACAAGTGTCAGAAGGCATTTGAAGCAATAAAAAACAAGTTCAGAAAAGAAGAAATGAGATAATACTACAATCTGATCAAGAAATGTGTGATTGACACAGATGCATCAGATTGCACAATAACAGAAAGACTGCAATAATCAGATGAACAAGAAAGACTAAGATTAATTGCATGCTATACAAGAATATTGACATCAGCAGAGCAGAATTATGATATTCATGACAAGAAATTACTTGCAATAGTGGCATCATTAAAGAAATGGAAGATTGAACTGTAAGAAAACCAGTATCAGACAGAGATCATCTTGAATTATGATAATTTATAATACTTTATGACAACAAAGAAACTCATGAGACAACAAGCAAGATGGTATGTCAATGTACTAGTGCACCACAACTTCAGAATACAACACTGCAAAGAAACTGAAAATGCATGGACCAACACACTAAGTTGAAGACCAAACTTGATGAAGAAGGAAAGAGATTTGCAAGCACTCTTTAAGAAGTTAGAAGAAATAAAGAATATAATTCTGGATCAACAAGCTCTAAGAGTGACAAGGATCAAAGCAGAGGAATTGAACATTGAAAGAAAAATCAAGAAAGTCACAGTGAAAGATGAATATGCAAAGAAGATTGATGACAAAAACAAGAACTTCAAGAAAGAAGACAGAATGATACTATATAATGAATTAATATATGTATCAAGAAAAATCAGAAAAGA